GTAACTTTTTAACCACCAACATACTCATTTCCTGCATATATTTACCAATAAGTGAGAATAAGAATAAAGTTGGTTGAATTCTTGACCAGATAGTGTACAAACATGTTATTTCTTTCCCCCATTCCTCGAAGCAGATTCATAATACAAGTACTCATCTAACCTTATCTTTGGCTTATAATCCTTAAATTGCTATATACAGAAATACGCACTGCCGGTATTTGCAAAATTACGGCGCATGTAGGTTTTCCTGGTGCACGTAGATCTTTTGGTCTACATGCGCCAGTGCATGCCACTTTTTCTTATAAATCGAGCCTTGTCCACAAACGACATGATGAGGAAGTGATACATAGAACCTAGCTAATGTTGACTGCATTCATGGTGAATTACAGGTAATACATAAATGTTGAACTAACATATTTCTCATCCTCCTTAAGTTTATTTCGAAATGATACACAGTTCTTTACATATCGTTCTGGTAATTGTCAATGAATCCAGACAGCTGTGCCCCGGCGATCGGATAAAATTTGGAGCACAGTGGCAGGAAATTCTGTGGAAACATGCTCGCTTCAGGTACACCAAAACAACCTAAATTAAACTCATGAACACATAAAATACACACAAGATACTAAATTCTGTGAATTAACTTTAAGAAGTCTTGCAACATCGATATTTTTTGATGCGTGAGGTCACGTACATCATGTGTACATGCTGCATGAATAGATTGGTTGCCAGACTCCATCACGCATTCTCTTGCGTGGGTGTGTTGCGGCGGGAACCAGCGCTTTGCGCACGTGTTTTTACCACAGCGACAGCGAAACACGAAAAGAAGTCGGGAAATTAGCAGAAGTTGCTTTTCAAATGTTGCAAATGTAACTGGGAAAACATGTAGGGTCTCGCCGAAAAATTAGGGTTGGTTGGGACTTGGGAAATCAAAAGCATTGTTTTGGCCTTTGCAAGTTGGAAACTCACACCGTTATTTGGTGGCTCAAACGTCGATGTTTTTATTTGTTGCATGAATGATAATCAGTGGGGCGAAGTGTAAATCGGGAGAAGTGGAAATGTGGCAAAGTGGGGATGGGGCGAAGTGGCAAGGTGACCGACACCCGTTCCAAGTACATGAAATACTACTACTACAACGGTTTCGAGTCAACTCGGACCCAAACCAACTCGGACCCATGNTAACTTTTTAACCACCAACATACTCATTTCCTGCATATATTTACCAATAAGTGAGAATAAGAATAAAGTTGGTTGAATTCTTGACCAGATAGTGTACAAACATGTTATTTCTTTCCCCCATTCCTCGAAGCAGATTCATAATACACGTACACATCTAACCTTATCTTTGGCTTATAATCCTTAAATTGCTATATACAGAAATATGCACTGCCGGTATTTGCAAAATTACGGCGCATGTAGGTTTTCCTGGTGCACGTAGATCTTTTGGTCTACATGCGCCAGTGCATGCCACTTTTTCTTATAAATTGAGCCTTGTCCACAAACGACATCATGATAAAGTGAAACTATGCAAAACTCTACAGCATTCACCTAGCTAATGTTGACTGCATTCATGGTGAATTACAGGTAATACATAATGGTTGAACTAACATATTTCTCATCCTCCTTAAGTTTATTTCGAAACGATACACAGTTCTTTACATATCGTTCTGGTAATTGTCAATGAATCCAGACAGCTGTGCCCCGGCGATCGGATAAAATTCGGAGCACAGTGGCAGGAAATTTTGTGGAAACATGCTCGCTTCAAGTACACCAAAACAACCTTAATTAAACTCATGAACACAGAAAATACACACATAGACAAGATACTAAATTCTGTGAATTAACTTTAAGAAGTCTTGCAACATCGATATTTTTTGATGCGTGAGGTCACGTACATCATGTGTACATGCTGCATGAATAGATTGGTTGCCAGACTCCATCACGCATTCTCTTGCGTGGGTGTGTTGCGGCGGGAACCAGCGCTTTGCGCACATGTTTTTACCACAGTAACAGCGAAACACGAAAAGAAGTCGGGAAATTAGCAGAAGTTGCTTTCCAAATGTTGCAAATGTAACTGGGAAAACATGTAGGGTCTCGCCGAAAAATTAGGGTTGGTTGGGACTTGGGAAATCAAAAGCATTGTTTTGGCCTTTGCAAGTTGGATTCTCCCACCGTTATTTGGTGGCTCAAACGTCGATGTTTTTATTTGTTGCATGAATGATAATCAGTGGGGCGAAGTGTAAATCGGGAGAAGTGGAAATGTGGCAAAGTGGGGATGGGGCGAAGTGGCAAGGTGACCGACACCCGTTCCAAGTACATGAAATACTACTACTTCTAGGCCTATACTGTACTACTAGTAAGTACATGACTAGGACAAACTGGAATACTAGCAGTACTAGTACTACTAGTACTAGTACTAGTAGTACTGCTAGTATTCCAGTTTGTGCACGGGGTGTCAAGTGGCGTCAGTATACATGTATGGAACTCTTTCCCTTAAATATGTTGAGTTTCTCAACTTACTGACAAATACAAGAAGAATCCAACAACAGACTTTTGTGATTTGCAGCGATTTCAAAGCCATTTTAACTTTCTTGTACATGTATGCAGCCGGGCCTGGTCAACTGGCGCTGGCTGCGCATCATCGTCAACTCCACAAATCACGTGAGTCTACCAGTCGTGTCAGGTGCCACTAGACTGCACTGCCAGGCTGATAAGGCCATCACGTGTTCATAGATTTTTCCAAGTCTTCTGTTTCGTATAATGTTTGACTTTATTCAGGGCCAATTCCTAGATTGTCATACCAAACATCCTTCCTCCATGGTCATACCCTCCTGGAGCGTGGTGGGCGTGCATAGCTCTAGGAGTATAATAACGTAATAGCTCAGCATTGCTCCCCTTTTTTTCTTCCCATGATGCCTTTATACTATTGTTCAAAATCACTCTTGCATTATTAGCCATATGGACAGCTCTTTCAAAAACCCCAAAATTAATGCATATCAACACACCAAAGACAGCATGGTGAGAGTTACCCTACTCCCTTGCACCCCTCAACCCACTGCACCACTGACGGGAAGGATGTTTGATTCAAGACAATTGAGAGGTTTGCCAGTTTAAGCTGCTGCTATACAGATCCACCAACACATTTCAAGAAAATCTCTTGCCAGCAAGCCATTTTATTAAACTCATTCTTCCGAATTTATATTTAGATATAATTAATTTTAAATATGTTGTTTTAAATATGCAATTTCTTGAATGTTTGACACAAATGAGTTAAAACACAGATCAAAATACACTTACGTGTCTATAAACACATGTAATAGTGATACATGTACATGCAAAAACGTATGTTTTATGAAAATGATACAGTAAAGGACACTTACGTGGAAAACCTTTGCTAAAATGTCTACACTTGAGGCCAATTAGTACTCATGGCATCCAATGCATTTATAATTCAAACAGTTGTGAAGTTTTCTCAATATCTTCAAGTTCAGCAATATTTTCCGTCTCCAACCAAAGAGTGGCAAATATGGAAATTTGTAAAAGACTGTGAAAGCTGTTACAGTTGATGGTTTAAACGCTTCTTCCCCTTGAACCTCAAAAACCTGGCCTCTGAGTGTTTGTCAAAGCATTAACAATGAACCACAAAAAAAATCACATTTGTGACCTGCTCTGCAAAAATGGGTATACCGGTAAGTCGCCCAATGCCAAAACTTGTACTGGCCTTTTCTATTAGGAGTGGGCAAAATTTCGTCAAAAATGTGATTTTGTGGCTTTTCCTTTACTGGCTGCTATAATATTTATATTTTCAAATTTGTGACAACAAACATGGATACCGATGACTAGAGATGAACAATGGATCATTCAGTCAGAAATCCTGTCTACATGTAGCATTGTGTTTCCAAGCACTACACTGTATGAGCAGGAAATCCTCTCTACATGTAGCATTGTGTTTCCAAGCACTACACTGTACATGCTGTATGAGCTTTTTCTCGAAAGTACTTTAATTGAATCTGAAATAAAAAAATGTGGATATACAAATGTCTATATATCTCCGGAATGCAGTGCACTACAGGGGTCATTCATCAAATTGTAGCTTTTGATGTACAGAATCCAGCCATATCAAAAACTCCTAACCTGAATCCGGCGACTTAGTGCCCATTTTTCTAGAGCCGGTCACATTTGTAATAATAATAATAATTTATAAAGCGCAAATTTCATATGGATATGTTCAAATGCGCTGTACAATGAAGACATTAAGCGTGGAACAATGAATACATTTAAATATGGTTGAGCCAATGGCATACAAGGGCGCCTCAGGCAGCTCCCAAACGACCTACATTCACCAACATCAGCAAAGGGGAGACAGTGAGAAGCAGTTACAGTTTTAGAGGTGGGAGGAAAACCCCAGAGGAGTAGTCTGGGTAAAACCCACAGAGTCAGGTAGGGACTGAAAACCCAATCCACATGTGGACCGGGCCGGGATTCGAACCCGGGACCACAGAGGTGGAAGGCGAGGAAAGAACTACCCTGCCAACCTGACTCCCCGAGTCAGGTTGAGGTAATTTAATATGCAGGTATGACCCTGGTTGATGGTAAAATACATGTACATGTACATGTAGTTGATTTAACATTCACAGTTTGATAAAGCCTTTTCTGACATACAAAGGCGAACTGTCACAAAATCCAACCATAATTTCACCAACGTTGCACAGAATTTTCAAGCACTCCACGCTAACAACAACGTCTGTGACTTTACACGCGCTCACTGTCAGCTGAAATTAATAAATCAACCCCAGCAGAGGTGGATCTAGCATTTACAAAAATAAGGGGGACACCAAAACAAAAAAGAGGAGGTTGAATTGTAAGATATGGGCTGTATTATCTTCTAAAACAGGTGAAAATTTCTGCCTTTAAAGTTATAATATAAGACGACACAGGAAGAAAGACAAGGTAAACCCCCCCTCCAAAAAAAGAAAAAGCAAATGAGGGGAGGGGTGCAAGCCGGGTGTGCCTTCCAATGAAAATGCTACTATTCTGGGTTCAACGTTAATTTCATGGGTAGAAAACGGCAGGGCCAAGCCATTGTTATTTACATGGCGGCTCGACACTGCAGTTTTGTTGCTGAACAAAATGTGTGCTGCCTGCATTGATATACAAGCATGGTAAATGATGGTTCATGGCTTTGAAAGGTTTCAAGCTACAATGGAAAAGAATTTCACTCAAAATGGTTAGTTTTTCATGCATGGTTGGAATCATTATTTAAAAAATACACAGCTGCACAATTAATCTATCTGCATACCCAGGCTTAATCTATCATCACATACAAGTAGTATGCACTATTGCAAGAGGAATGCATGGTTATTACTTGTACTAAGAACAAAAGTGTTCACAAGCTCTTGATTTTCCACCAAACATTAGGCTAGAACAAAGTATAAGGCTAGAACAAAGATCACGTATTTAAGGTGGTGAATGATCATTCAACAAGTTCCAGATTCCTGGAAAATTACTCACTACCTGATCAAAATGTGACAAATACAAATCTTTTTGACATTACCATTTGAACAGCATATGCACAAAATGAAATGACTCGTGATTCACCTGCAAGCTGAGTTTAGTGTGAATTAGTATTAGTTCTTAGCTTAATTGAACTTGATTACACAATTGAGCATCAGGTTTAAAAAATTTACAGCTTCGGTGGCCTTGCTGCCCATTCAACTTCTCAGCTTCTTTGAAACCAATGTAGACTAATTGAGTTGTTGAAACTGTTGGAAAAAGGCAGAGGCAGGGTTAATCTTCCTGCACGACACCGACTTGGATACGATGCCAGGCCGTGTTCAGCAGGCCCCTTACATTCCAGATGCCTTGCATGGTATCCGGCTGGACATTGTGGGAGGAGTCGATGGCCTTGCAGCAGATGTCCAGTTTCCCCTTGTGATCCTTTGGGATGGGGATCTCCGCCTCCCACAGAGTCCAGGCCCAGACCCTGTTGACCTTCTGGCCGGAGCCCTGAAGCTCGGCCGTGTGCCATTCCTTGCCTCCGTTGACCGACACATCAACGCGCAGAATGCCACGCCCTCCTCCACTCCAGGCATAACCCTTGATGGACACTTTCTCTTCATCGACGTCAACTTTGCTGCCATCCCTAGGGACACAGATGGCTGACTGGACAGGATACTCCTGGATGGCAGGTGCGGTTTTGTAGTCCAGCTGTCCAAAGTCCACCGAGGGATTGAAGCTCTTGTAGTCGTTCTGCTGCCAGTGGCTTGGGCTTTCTTGGTCACTTGCCACGATCTTGGAGAGCCATTTAACACTGCGGGCCCCAATGTTGCCAGGGATGATCACCCTCAAAGGATAGCCATGATCTGCTGGGATTTCATTGCCATTCATCTTGTAGGCCACCAGGACATCGCGGTAGGGATTCATTGCCACCGAAAACGGGATCGAGGAGCCATAGTGTCCGCCGTTGGGGTCCTTGTCCAGACCCTCAAACTGAATGTGAGCAAATTTGGCCTCGTCCTCCTCTGTTAGCCCAGCTTCAAGGAGGAGGTCACGCAGCTGCACCCCCGTCCACTCGGCCGTGCTGATAGCCCCGTACCTCCACGACAGGCCCTTCACAGTCTTGTAGCTGGACATCTGGCTGCGCCGATTGCCAGCGCACTGCAAGGTAGCCGTGATGGTGTGCTCCTTGAAGTTGCGCTTCAGATTGTCCAGGGACAGATTGATGGTCTTCTTGCTGGGGACCTCCACAGCCAGTTTGAAATTCTTCACATCGCACTTGGGCACGGGCAGGTGGTTCCGCACAAAGAACAGCTCATTAGGGGTGATAAAGCTGTCAACCAGCAGGCTGGGTGGCGGCTCAGCATTGAAGGGCTTTTCAGAGTTGACCCGTAGAGCTGGGTGGCGATAGGGATCATTGGCAAAGGGATCATTCGCATCCCTGTGCTTCGTCTTTTCGGCATCTTTGTAGTTTCCAATGCGATATTCTTCCAAAATCTCGAACACTTCATCTGACTTGTGCACCGCATACAAGTTCCAGAATGGCTCCAGTGACCCACCTAATGTTAAAAAAGGAAAACATTATCATGACATTCCTATGAACATCAAACCAATCCACATAGCAAGGACTAAATGGTGTATTACAGTGTTTTTCCAACAATCATACATGTAGCTTCAAATCAACACAGGATGAAGATACAATTTCAAACCATCACACTCTTTACACATACAGGCACACTGCATTTCAGTCACAGTTCTCTTGCTAGTGTCAGAACCACGGGACACAAGCTGATTTGTTTACAAGACAGTTGACTCTTCACTGCTGGTGAATGGCTTTGAATAATTAAATAGTGTTCAAAATCTGTTTTGTAAGTAAAATCTCAGTTCTTTGTTTCAGTATGACGTACTGGCGCAGACTGTAGCTTTAGAACACCAACTCTTGAAGAAAAACTCAACTTCAAGTTTTAAGTTTTCATTCGGAGACATGAAAGGTGGTATTTTGACGAGCGAATACCTGGCATTTACACAGAAGAGCGTTTACAAACTTCACACAGTAGAAAATTATGCCAAGCATAGTGATTCCCGCTATAACAGTAACTACACAAAGAGCGAGCAGACAGCAGAGAGACCAGAGACCAGTTTGGAAACCTGAACAATTTTTCAAAGATTCCCCATTAAGACAGTACCAGTCACCTTAAAGACTGACTGGCAGGGGTGAGCATTTCACCATGCCTTGATTGTTCCAGACCACTGTTACTGTGCAGTCACTAATGCAATGATTTATTAATCAAACAGGTGTTTGCCTTGTTTGTAAATGCAAACTAACATTCGACATATCACTTTCCATCAGCCCTTTCATAGGCTTTAATAAAGGCCCTAATGATCTCCACCCATTGCAGGTCTGGCCTACAAGTTCTCACCTGCTGCCAACCAGATCTTCCCTCCGCCAGGGTGGGCATTCATGAATGATGTCACGTCGTACACTCCATTCTTGTACGTCATCCAGATGCCTGTCTGAGGGTTCTTGTGTTTGGCCACTTCCTCTTGGCTGTACTCTGGCAGGCCTTGGATCTTCACACCTGTTTTCAGAGGCAAAACCAACATTAAGGAGCACCTCTAAGGAAAACATGTTTTCTCTGATATCATCTGTTCAAATAAGTATGGCAGCATCCAAATCAAACACAGTGTCATTTGTCTTCAGAGCTCAACTACTACAAGCTAACAGGCTTTGTTTCTGTTCATGCCACAATGCAAATTCTGAATGTACATTGCGTCATTCAGAAAACAAGGGGAACCTTTATCCTGTGTTTGTAGCCGATAAACCCTTGTCAAACAATGGCTACAAAACAATGGCTACATGCGCTGTTTGGCATGCACAAGGGTTTATCCACTACGAACACAGGGTCAAGGTTCCCCTCGTTTCTCTGTTTTCTCTGAATGACACAATCTACATATTCACATTTTGGCATAAACAGAAAAAAAGCCCTTTTAGCTGGTAATAGTTGAGCTCTTTAAGGACTTGACAACCATTTTTTTCTAGTAGAAGTTTTTAACTTCAACTCTCAAAGATCCATCAATATCTGCCAAATACATAAGTTTGCAGGATTGAGGAAATCCCCACTGTGAAGAATATTTGATGTGTCACTGGTATTCTTCACAAGGCAGCATAGGGGGAGGGGGGTTTTGAAGGATTCAAGAAGGTTTCTCAGAAGAATTGTCCCCTCAGGAAAGCAAAAACTGTGCTGAGTGAAACATGGAGAACATGACTCATTTCGGTGTGTACTGAAACCCGGGAGAAAAATGCACATGGTCAGGTAACATTTTTGTGACAGAAGAACTGGCTCTGGCATAGCTATAAAATGCGAAACTGAATTTGACTACAATGGCCAAGTTTGATCAGTGACCATTTAGTCAAACCCCTGCTTATTTTTGGCCGGTACCCAGGATATGTTTCGTGCATTGGTTACCAGGGACATATCAGCCAGTGGTCAAAACAATGACCCCGTCTGAACTTGACCAAAATTTACCTGCATTTTGTGCTGCACTGTAGGGTTCTGCGGATGGGGCTGTTGTCTTTGCAGTGGCACATTCAGAGTTGTTGACAAACTTGGTGTAGGCAGTCAATCCAATCCCTTCCAACAAGTTAACACACAGAGAAAAAAATCAGAAATAAAGTGATTCTCTTTTTTGAGACTACCTACATATGTATGTACTTGTCTGTCAAAACTGAAGTGTTCCTAATGACAAAAAAAACCCAACATGGCAAATGAGTTGTAGTGAGTTAAAATGAGTCAAAGGCCTTTAAAAGAATCTTGCACAGAGTAGATGAGTAGGAACTCCAACTTGGTTATATACTCCAAGTTGATATCAACATGACATTACACACATTCTGAGGAGTTGCGGTTCACTATATGACCAGTTTACATTTGAAAACGGTCATGAAATCAGAAACGCAAATGCTCACCTTGACTCCATACCAATATCCTGAAGGCTTATCTACGTATCCACCAGTCAGAGGCTAGTTTAGATTTGTACTTTTCAACTTCCTTTGACTGCATAGCCATTCAAATTCTAGGGGGTGATTTTTATTTGGCGGGTATTCTGCATGCTCCAAATAGTTCAAAGATGCTCCCTGGATTTTCTGACTAGCACCTCGCTGAGAAGAATTGCACAGGTGTGCACAAACCTTAAGAGACTGGTCTGAAAACTTAAGAGTTTCTACCTGTACATGTAAGTGAATGCTTTCATATTTTCACTGTTGAATTTGACTTTTTAGGACATGTTATTGCATTTAGTGGCATCTGTATATGGAATTCTTTCCACTTTGTTTTATCTGAAAATGAACTTAATACAAAATTGCAGAGGAGGTCCAAAATTGTGTGTGGGGGGGTTGCCAACTCGTAACCGTGGTCCCACTCAGGTGACGTGAGTCTAGGGAAAGAGTCTCATACACTGGCATCACTTGACTTCCAAATCCAAGTGTTCTCTCACGAAGTAAATATTTTCACCGCTAAATTTGACTTTTTAAGGCAAATTATTTCTTTCTGATGGCTGGCTTGCCACATTTATTGATGCCCATGGAACTAGTTTGAGCTCCTACATGTACCTCCATGCTCAATACCTTAAAAAAAAAATTGCACCTTCGTGTGGCTCCTCCTTACCTCCAATCAAAATGGTACCGCCCACAAGAAGCTTTGACATAACTCCCCAGACAACATCATCAGCATGATCGGAGGATGATGACGCCCCATCCCCATCCCAACTGAAGCCTCTACTCTGTTCACTGCGCACCGAGGAGGAACCAAGGTTGCCACTTGCACGATTCGAATTCGATGCATTGGAGGACAATGCCCGAGCAACAGCTGCAGGTCTGGAGACAGTCAGGATTTGCTTTGTCAAACACATCACACCAGAACATCGGGAAAACTTGCTGAACGTGAGAAGGGCCATTTCAAGGCTGAATTTATAAAAGGCTTGTACTTTTAAGTTAATAGTTGCACGCCGGCGTTAAGCGTGTCACTGTGGTATGATCTGTGTGTATTCAACCTTGTCCTCAGGGGTAAAGTTAGCTTTTCCTGATAAATTAGTTAGAGTATTAAGAAAAAAAATCAAGCCACGGTGGCGCACTGCGCGACATCATGAGAACGAGGCTGTTTTACATGTTGGTCAGGTACGGGCCGGGTAGAAACAACAGTGCCGGTTCGTATGCAGTCTTATAAAAGATTATAAAGATGAACAAAGAAATTTTAATCAATCATAAGTACCTAGTCAGTTTCCTTATATGATTTGTTTCTGTCTTATAAAAGACACTGAACCAATACTCTTATGGTGATAGCCAAGCACCAGGAGACTCAGGGTCGTCCGGGCTTTATTAAGTAAATTGAGGATAATTTTAAATGCACATTTGGTGTGTAAAAATAAACAGTATGAACTAGATATTTACATGTATGTACTGTTACCTCTCCTTTGTTACGGGATATACGGACATCAGAGTTTCTCAATATTAAATTATGCTGTACCTCCCTTAAATCCTATACCCGGGAGATTTCAGTCTGGTTAAGCATTTAGTATAAACAACCAATTTCTTATAGTTTTTAATAGTCATAGCAGTGGCTACGGTAGTTACATAACTTTCCCAGATTCATTTTGAATATGATTTCATGCACATACCCGGGAGAATTTAGCAAAGAGAAAAGTCGACAATACATGTACAATATGTGTCCAAAAATCAGTGTCAGATGGGCAATGTATCATGTGTAGAGACTAGACTAGGACTCAAGCTATGATTCATTGTTCATTCGACTTGCACGGCTGACCAAGTCTTCGAACAAGGAGAAAATTCTTCAGCGTTGTGCTTTGTTATAAAATTATGAATAACATTATTAATATTAATGCTATTAATGTTCCAGCTTCACGAATCGGCCAACATGATCACAGCTTGAAATAACTACCCCCTTTAAAATTATTACTTTGTTCGAACAACAAGGAATGGAATGACCCGCCCAATACGGTCATTGAGAGTCCCTGTCTGTTCATGTATATGTTTAAATCGTGTCATTTTACTCAAGTGATATGAATTTAAAAGTGCAGTTTCTCTACATAATATCATGTTCTAGGCACGTTTTTCTAATTTCACATACTCAAGCACTCATCCATCTGACTGACTTCGAATTAGGTGCATGGTTAGTGTATAAGTCTCAGAGGGTGTCAGATCATCGTCGCTGTGACGTCATCTGGTGTCACGTGATATGACATTAACGGCGCACAGTTCAACTCACTATATCTTTTGAAATACATGTCCCATTGTGTTGAAACCTTGCAGGAAGCTAGAAAAGGGAGTGTTATTGAATAAAATTGCCCTCATGTGATGATGACGTCGTCAGCTGACGAGTCACATGACGTTAAAAGTGCACCAGGCTCAAAGCAATAGTACACAAGTACATTTGATGATTTCATTAAAACATTATCAGTAGGCCTATATAGCTCTCATCACATTAAGGACTCATTAATCAAAGTTCTATTTGTATGTATGTCGCATTGTATGGAAACATCCTTACTTACATGGAAAAGAGCGGCCCAGAATACAAACCGAAAGAGCTGTGAAGAATACAAACCGAAAGAGCTGTGAAGAATACAAACCGAAAGAGCTGTGTTCGTCCAGAGGACAAACACACCTTTAGTTTTCCTGCGTAACTGTTTCGTTCTTACGGGTTTAATTCTATGTAACCCATGTTTTAATGTACATTCTTACTGTTTTGATTTTTTGCGTTTACAGTCAGTAGATGTTTCTACATTTTCTACACTACATAGTTCTTTATGTTCACCTTTTCTATTAACTTTCTCCCATTTTTATTGTAATTATTCTTTACCGTTTTTAAGTTTATTTGTTTTATTGTTGAGGTGGCGTGAATTTTTGCCTTTGAGGTCCATGTTCACGATGTTGATATACGCCTGTATGGCTTTTAAAGATTATTTTCCTTTTTTGAATAATATTGAATGCATTCTAGTCATTGGAAGTCTGAAAAACTCTTCCTGATGCGCTTAAAATTCTTGCTTACCACACAAAAATGTAGAGGGATGATTCAGTAGCCTGTTCCCCGGGGGATATATACCCCCACCCCACACCCCCCGATTGACGCCCATGTTATTGGCCTATGTTTTAGGCCGTGTTTGTTTAGATGTTATTGTTGCTATTCTTTTGCTAGGGGACATTATTATTCTTATTTTCACAGTCTTGATTACTTAAGCTTATAATTTTTATACGTGTCCAGTTTTTGCGTTTTATTATTTTATTCGGGGAGTGATGTCAGAAGGACCTTAAGGTCTTGTTCACGATCCTTTGATATGGTCAGAAATTTGTAATAAAAAAAACAAGCATGGAACCGAGAACGTGTTTTTGCCTGGAGCCGCCTGGAGTTGCCTTGAGTAAACTAACGTGTTTGTTGTACGTAGATGTTGAAGGACAACCAACAGCTTTGTAATGAGCAACCCCAACTCCATTATGAGCGATGTTCAAGTTGAGTTTCTAAGAGTACCTGTCCAGATCCAGATTCTGAGAAAAATCTTCAAAGTTTAACCACGGCTAGTTGTGCTCTTTTTGGATTTGGCTGTAATTTTATATTAGTTTTATGTGAGGCTTGAGACTAGAATGTTTTGCGCGAGGGTAGCAGTGAGTTTACTCGCTTAAAATGTAGCCGTAATGAATTTTTTTGAGGCACATTTCTGCTGCAACTTTGTACTTTTCTTCAAAGTATGAAAACCCTTTTACATTCCTGTTTGGCTATGCAGGTTTAAAACACGATAAAATTATCCATGATCTCCGGGAGAACTGAGGGCGCTGTTGCTGGGATGCAACATATTGAATACGTAGTTTAGTGCATTCTCATTTCAGAGAAACAGACATTTCTTTATGAAAGTAACACTGTGTTGAATTAAATATCAATTTTGACCATACTAACCATCTTGCCTCCCAAGGACACTGTCCAGATATTCCGCCGGAGTTGGTCGTGTGGGGTTGGAATTCGTGAACAACCCGGCAATGCCCCGTCTTTGGAGATTTTCTCGAAGAGGATCGAAACACGGGGAGATGTAATATTTTTGTACAATCTGGACCTCAGTAACGGACAAGCTCAGTTAACGATAATTGCATGTAAAACACGGTATCGTGTGAGGGTATGTTTGGAACCTTGAAGAGCCATTTTCTGCAGGAATGGTAACAAAAGAGAATTCATAAATTCGTATTTTTATACAAAACTGAGCGCTGTTTGAATCAAGAACGAAGAACTATAAGGAGCTCGAATTTGGAGCAGGTGCGGAACTGGGGGAGGGGACCGGCGCTCACCCGGCCATCATCAGTGCCGTTTTCCGCGACCTACGCCTAAAGGTTGCAAGTCCATCTAAAAGGGGTAAACCCTGTAGGGGTCTTAGTCGCTTGTTCGGTTATAAGGAACAAACAAAGATGTAAATTGACTTTAACAAAGGCGATGAAATACAGTCTGCCCCCTCCCCGCGAAACAAATTTCAACACAAATCTCTACGGTAATCCCATCGAAATGCATGTATAATGAGTGTGACTGTTTAGAATTATAGTATCATGTTCGTCGACTTTGTACACGAATTCAGCCGCTCACATCGCAGCCTATCTATCCGATCCATTCCAGCCTCATCAACATTTTGTCCCTCTATGATAATATAATAAAGATTCACAGTGCGGCATTTCAAATCTCGTCGGCCAGGACCTATTGCCTCTTCCCCGGAACCCGTGTTCAAGTTCGACGTTCTGTTTGTTTTGTCGAGTCTATGATCTCCTATATCGGTACTTACCATAGGTCTTAGAGGCCAGTGGCCTTTCATCAGTTTCTCAACCCATCCGAATTTACAAGCACTATTCGCTCGGCTAACTCTACTCACATCAGTCACTTTCGCTCCTCCGAAAGTCAGCTCTGGGAGATATTCTGCGAGTTGATTTCCCCCCGTCTTTCTGCCTCTCTCTGGACCTCTCTGTACTCTTTCACCAATACAAACGAAATATGGGCCTACCCTCCTGACTGTCGTTTAGTAACAACTTCATTTTGGTGTGACCCTTTTGTCTCGTGTTTGGCTTTACTCACAAAAAGGTTTCATTGCGGGGAGGTCAAATTCAAGCCTGACTGAATATCGTTCATAACAACTTAATTCTATTTACAATCGTGCTCAAAGCTTAGCTATGGGGATAATGAAAGACGGTCACTGAAAAAATCGTTTAGTCTGTGAGGATAATGAAACGGTCACGTTCATGTACAGAGCTTAGGGGACTAATGAAAACTGAGAGAGTACGGTGCAGTTTGACACCTTTCTGAATTCTGATAATAGGCCTACTGTTCAAATTTCCTCTTAAAACAGCATTCAAATTAGCAGTGGGGTTGCATCCTAGGATATTCCACGGAAAAGTCAAGGAGTTAGTGAAAGACTGAAAAGCCAATCTACAGTATGGTTCAAAAAAATTAGACACCTTGTCAAAGTAGGTAAAAACATTCTGTGGAAGTCAGGCAGTAGGTGACCAAGCACTTTAACATTGGATTTACATTTTTAACCACCTTGAAGGGGGCTACATGCTGACCTATAAGTGGGATTCGATCGGAGAAAGAGCGACGAAAGTATTGCTTCACCAAACTGAGTTGCAGTGAATGAAACAAATTATCTTCTGATTCCCTGGCAAGGACAGAATGAAGGGGAGAGTCTGTCACGGCCCCCGGACCCCTCCTCGTATAGCAGGGGCCACCGCTGGCAACGTCGTGCACAGTCAGGCTCAGCCAATGCTTGCACTTTTGTCTCGAATCCATTCCTGTATCCTTCTGACCGCTGGTAAAGTATATACCAACGCAGCAGACTGTAGCCATCAGTGTGTGAGGCGAATACCTCTCTCGATTTTAACGATTGAGATTGATTGAAATTGTTTTCAAGATTGCAATCTCAATGTTTCACAGATTGTCACTAGAGACGATCTTTCCGGATTGACTGTCAGTCTTTTTAGACCGAGAATTTCCAATGCAT